ACTGTTATAATTGTTTTGCATATGCATGTATATATATATATATATAATATTTGAATTATCACTCAAAAGCAATAAAAGTTACGACCAATTGTTGATATGTCTTATGTGTGTATTTATTTATGTGGTGTTGGTGGAAGAATGTTATGCACCTGAAAGGGTTTACAAATCTGAGCGGTGTTTACAGCGGAATGAATTTTTTTGGTCGTTCAACAACCGAAAAGATTACTCAAAATTCAATTCTGTTTTCAATTTTTTCTCTTTTCTAACATCAGAAATTCGTTACTTTGCGAAAATGAAAGTTTGCATTTGCAAAAAGTTTCATTCATCCGAGTGTTTGATTATTAAAAGTTTGTTGCTTTACGTGATCTGCCGTACCTCAGCAACTAAAAGAACTTCAACGGTAGTGCTTTGAATTCTGTATTCATTTGTCTTTTCTGATCTTGGTATTTCATCAACTAAGCAGTATTTATTTACACTAAAAGTGAGTATTTTAAAAAGTACCCAAAGCAAAGAACGTTTAGCAAATTTTCTCAACTGAATATAAGGATAAATCAGTATGATACTCTACTGGATATTAATCAAAGTTTGGTATTTAATCTGTACAAAACTCTTATAGCTATCTGTCATCCAAGCACAGCAATCTTTTCCGTTGCTTAATTGCTATTTTATTAATAAAAATAAATGGCATGTTTAAGAGTTAATTGCAAAGATCGCATAACAGCATTTTTTGACGAGGGCTTGTTTCGAAAATTGTTTCCAAGAATTTCATTTCTAGCAACAAAAAACAGATGCAACAGATATTGTTGCCGATAAAATTGTTTGCTCATTTTTATTTATTAATGTACGCAGCAAAAATAGAGGCGCAGAATGTGAGTGCTAGTCATCTTCGCAAGGCATTTATTTCATACTTCCATGAAATGTTATTTTACAACATATACACATACATATGCATATGTATATGTGTATATGTTTGAGTTTTTCGTTCTATTCTATATTGTAAAGGTGAAAAAGAATAATGTATAATGCAAAATGTGTTATAGTGAGAGAATGTCAGTTTTCTAAGTTTAAATTGAAGGATTTGAAGTCGATATATAGAATAGAACAGAACGATGGTATCATTGTGTGTTTGTTTTGCATAATATATAATTTAGGGAACAGTTGTTATCCGATCATCTCACCTCAGAATAATGTGTTGTTTTTTCCTTCAAAAGACTCGCTAGATCAGCTATTTATTCTCTGCAGTAATTTCCATTCGTTGTTGAACTTTACCTCAATAAACATTTGTGCATTACTTATGCTCATGACTCAGATTCTCACACAAATTACACTTTTGTGCAGGCAGCACAATATTTTTTGACATCAATTATCTACAAGTGCTCTTTAATGTGCGATTTAGTTACATTTGTTTTTTATTGCTATAAGTTTATGCTGGGAAGCAAACTAAATTATTGTACCAAAGAATGATGGAATGAATCTGATTCTTTCATATTATCAAAATACTTTCGTACATAAATAAATGCAAAGTTCGAGCAGATGCTGTTCAAAAAATCTTGCACTTGCGATAGCCGTGAAGATAAGATATCTTTTATCAGTGCTTTTTATAATTTCACTGCCTTTGCACTTACAGTCAGAATTAATAATCTTATTATCATCTATCTGTGCATGCACATATGTTAGAGTGCTTGCATCTAGACTGACTCCGCTTTGATTGAGCACAATCTGACTGAAATATAAAAGCACTCATTTCCAGATTTATAGCTGAGAAACTGTTGCTTCTCCTTTTCATCGTCACAAGTGATTAATTCCGAATTCATAAACAATCAATCCATTCCTGCCACAATGCATTTATTTAATGTAAATATTCTGCTAAAATTGAATTTTCCACTCGATCCTTCAAGTTCTCCTTGCTCTGTTAGCAATCAATGCTGCCTGCTACGTTGTTTCCACTTTCACCTGAAAATACAGAAAATAGCTTAGAAATAACTTAATGCAATTAACTTCAGAATAAATTGCTTCTTCGGATCGCCTGCTACTTCTCTCTTTACTCCACCACTACTTCCGCAATGTGTGATAATGGAATGAATAAATTCATGATGGGATTGAGTCTATTTCATTATTCTACTAATCATGCAAAAGTTTCTTACATTGATGACATCCAGTAGTATTCATATTAATTATTCTGTCTTTCTGCAGGTGCCTAATTAATTGTTTGATTAAATTATTTATTGAAGGATTAGTTAGGCTAAGTAATATTTTGTATTCATCTTCAAAAGATAATTTCCATCTCTAATTTCCGAAAAACTGAACTTTCGAAGTTGACTGCTATATGTTATTGAGGAAAATCATATAAACTCATTATTTAGCACTAAATCGCCTAAATTTTTGGCACAATCAAGCAAAAAATTTATTGAGCATTGTTTTGGCTTCTATTTGATTTATATTACTACAAAACAGGTCACAGGTCAAAATCAATAGGAACTATAAAGTTTTTGGTTTAGACAAGTTTCCCACTGTTCGCAGTGGGAAACTCATTTCATTCTTTTTGTTCACTCTGACTGTTAATTTCAGTAATATTACTTGTCACTTTGCTGTAAGTCAGTGCATTAAATGCAAAAGTCTTGTGAACAATTTTCTAAAAGTTTAACTCAGTAGAACAGACTAAAAGTAAAAGTTGACAGCCGCAGCGTGTATTTGTTTATATAAGCAGTCCTTAGCAGATCCAATAGCACGAAGACTAATCCACTTCTGGCTTGGCTGGAAGGAATCGCAAGAATATCATTCATCTCTTTCTTAGATGGAAGCAGTAAAAATTCATTAAAATTTTGGGCTATTACAGGAACAGTTAGGTATTTTTGTCCTTTGCATTTACATATTACTTTATTTCTGAGCACACTTTTTTCGCTGTAAAATTTGTCCATATTTTTAAATACTGCTTTAACTTGCATCCATGCATACTCTGCAGCTGCTACCAATTTCTTCTCCATCAAATATGAGAGTGAATGAATGAGTGTGTTTCTGCTGAGAATTTGCAGGGATCACAATCACTAGATAGATGTTAAACTTAAATCAACGTGAGCATGACCTTTGGTTCAAACAAGCGTTGACATCAGCAGTCCTTGCCATTTTCTTCCACCTATCATTACTCGTCCAATTTTTGAATTTTGTTAATGCATGCATTTTGATGATAGAAAAGGTTGGTTGTGTCTGCTATAATTACCACAATCATTGAATTATTCCGCTCTTGCATTAGGTAAATTCTTTGCTCCAATCAGCAAGTTGTAACTGAGTTAATATTCAGTAAATAAAGTAGTACTCAGAGTGGAGGAGGCATTGTTGAATTGTTGTTGTGCAATGAGCTGTCCCAAAAAGCACAAAAGAATTACTGTGGAAAATATCTCTGCTCAAATTAACACACTCCAACAGAGTTAATATTTCAGAGTATTACTGATTGAGTGATTTGATTAGTTAATACAATGTGTAATAAAATCATCGAGAGCGTTAATTTAGCAGGCTTAGCTCGGATTTATTCAAAAAATGAATTCGGCTTCTGAGAGACGCAGCTGGTGTGAGTGTTGTTTAATGTGTTTGTGAATGATCAAAAGCTGTGTGAGCCTTTTAAGTCAGCAAATGAACAAAAATATTGTGAGACATCAATTTGGCCATCAATTCTAACATTGATTCATACAATTGAGTCATTCAATTATACTTGTATAGTTATGAAATTACACGTTAGGAACGTTTGGTAGCAGCAATGTCCGCTCACTACTTGCTTGACTTTGACTGTCTCGTGAAGTATTTTATGCTAATTTTGTTGTTTAAGCAATAACAATTATGAGTAATCTTCTCAGATGTGATTATCTTTGTTATGCAGTTATCAAAAGTGAATCTGAACTCTTTGCGAAGAAAGCTTTTTGTTAGTTGCCAAGTACACATCGGCTAACAACTAACAAAAAGTGTTTCTCATGTAAATCAAAATTAACAAGGATTGCTTATTTCTCGACATTAATTTTTAAATATGAGAAAATTAAATAGCAGCTGTGCTAGAGAACTGAATCTCAACATATGTTAATTTAGTCTTCTGGTTTTCATTGAGGTCACTTTCAAGCTCAAACTAATACGGATAAGTTTTTCACTCAGTTTCATTCTACAAATTCATAATTGATTATTCTTCACATTCTTCTTGGCATCTGCGATATAAATGTAGTGCAAAATGCAGTTTTTGTAAATTAATTCCTGGAATAGTTGCGAATTATCAAGTCAATATTCCAAAGTTTTGTAGTAGATTATGTAAATTTTCCCTCTCGGCTATTTTTAATATTACTTCAGTGTACGTCAGAGCTTTCGATTCATGATCAAAAATAAATTTTTAACTGTGAATTACTTTTGCTGCTGAAAATTATTCTTTGCTATAAGCTAGTTTTCAGATCTAATTTTAAGAAAATTCCCGTAATTTTTTATCTTTTGAATTTGAAAATGGTAAAAGTAGTGCTTACACGTGAAGTGAAAAGTTAGTTTTCATCACGTTGCTCTCCGCGGTACTTTGTTTGCTGTAAGATTGAAAGCGTGCTTACGTTTCTATTATTTTTGTGATAGTAATTTGGTCTAATATTCTACATGCTTGCAAATAATTTTTGTTTCACTCTCAACATTTCTCTCAAAGTAACACTTTTACTTTACTGATATGTCAGTTTTGTTTTCATTTTGCTACTTTTAATTTCGTTCTATTTCAGATTTTTTCTGCACACTTTGGCATCAGTAAGAACATAGACAAATCAGTACTGACTTCTGTGTTCACTGTACGCACGGACTACTTGATTAAAAATTAATAAAAATAAAATCAAAAAAGAGAAAAACCGGTATTTTGCATCGATATTGCCAACATTTTTGGCGTATTTTACTTGCTACTTCTATAAACGATGTCTTCCACTGATATTCCTTCTAGCACTAAAACTTCAACAATCTTTCGAACATTATTTTCACGGAAGAAAAAACGAAATAAAATGGTCACTTCTACTACTGCCATCGGTAATAATGATAATACCAAAGTAATGTCCTCTATTACAGCACATTTTTGGCCAAATGTTAAAGGTCAACTGACTACAGGTAATAATAACATTAATACAGCGAGCAGTGGTTACTATATTGATTCAGAGATTGATTCAAACTCGTTTTTACCAGTAAAGCCATCAACGAGTACCAAATACACTGAGGAGGGATGTGAGCTTCCCAAGATAGAGATTCTTCCAGAAGAAACAAATCAGAATGTGTCATCATCAAGTGATAATTTGCAGTTTACTGGCCGAATACAAAATCGGACAAATTTTTGCAAGCCTAAGCATCTGAATAACTTTAATGATGTGAACAAAAATTATATACCGGTAATAGCATCAAACAATGGAAGATCTCGAAGTGAAAGTCGAACATTCCAAGCGCAGAATCCGTCAATGACAGTGCCGAAGAAAGCACTTTCAATGGATGCAGTCAATGTTCATTCAAATTCTCTATATCTAATGGAAGCTCTAGAAACTCTCGGAGATGTACAGCCTCGTGTGGCTCGATCAATCCCGAAACATGCTGCCGTTAATACCGAGAAATTTGCAGCGCATTCTTTAGATAATTGCTTGTTCGATGCAACTGTATATGATGCCATGCTGTATGATTCACTTAAGGTTCGTTCCTTGGAATTACAATTTATGAGGGTTTTCATGACTTTATTAGCTTAAAACATTGAAGATATTGGGAGGATAACAGAGAATGTTTACAGCTTACTGAAGTAAAAGAATTACACTCTTAAAAAAGCCATCATTCATTGCAGCGCACAGAAATAGCAAGCTTTTTCTAAAAGTTCTATCTCTCAAAGTGCTTTCTTCTGTCATGGGATTCGAGTAAATATTTACTCAAAGTCAGATGACAGTAGTCAGTCTCGTCTGCTTATAAAAGCAAATTGTATTGTTGATACTACTCTGAATGTCTCAATATGCAAATTTTCATCATATTGGATGAAGCGAAGTAGTAAATAATTTAGCGCATGTATCAAAGTCAATCAGCCTTAATTGAGTAACTTTATTGAATGTTGTTTGAGCAACTGCGAATTTCATGCTTGATTAGCCTTAAACATTGGTTATAAATAATTTAAAACAGACGGATAGGATTCGTGATTATGTCAGATGGATAAATTAATCATTTTTGATGCAGTCAGTAGCCTTCACTCCTTCACTTTCACACTCTTTTAGATTGATTATTACATCGGTCAAGTACACGTCAAAGTCATTATTTATTGAGCATCAAGTAGTGATAAAATGAATCTGCCCCATCTGTTTTGCATGCAATGTTAAGGGAAGTCATCTGAAATCAAAATATGTTTCTCAAATAAGTTAAAGGCTGACTCGGATTTGTTCAAAAAAAAGATTCCGAGTTTTGTTATTTTCGAATTTCTCCTTGAATTCATGAAATTTTATATTAATATGCGTTCACTGAGTTCATTCCTTCCAATTATGAGGCTGTTTTCATCTTATGTTAAGTAATTGTACAGAGATCTCACGGGAATGTTTGTGACCTTCTGATCGTCAGTAAGTTCATTCTAGCTTCATGTCCTTGAAAATTTTCGGCAGTTTATAATTTATGTTGCCTCGCAAATTATAATGACCTTACATTTTGACCTTTAACCTTGAGAATATTCTTTGTACCTTCGTGTGCTGAAGAAGAAATTTCTGAAAAATTTATTTTGGTCTTCTCTGATCAACAATTTACAAGAGAGAAAGAGGGAACCTTGGCTTTTTCATTTTATTTTGCTTCCAATTTTTGATTATTGGAGAAAATTTTTAAAGTTGAAAAAAGTTTTAAGTAATATTTTGCGAAATTTTGTCCTTTAGAATTCTTAAATTCTCATTTTTATGTTCTGCTCAAATCCATAATAGACAAACAAATCGATCAATTAGTCCTTCAGAAATACATGAAAATAGAAGTGAAGTCAGAATGCGTTTGGCTTGCACGTAAAATAGATCAATTCACTATAGAATAAAAAAATCTATATATTGACTTTCGATGAGTCAAGTTCACAAACAAATGGAGTATTTGATAGAATCATAAAAATAATTTTGCAGAATTCAAAATTAATTCTGTTGTCTAATTGAATATTTCTTAATAAAAATGATTACTTATTGCACTGACTCAATTGATAAAATTAGTTTTATTAATATGCTAATAATGAAATTGTGACTAGAACTGTTGAAAATTAGATATGCAAATTAGAACGGATTCCAAAAGTTCTGAGGACTTACTGTTTCATTCGAGTCGCCTGCTAGTGTTTGGGGGACTTACTGTAATGACAGTTCAATCAAATGCTTTTCATTTCCTCAAGTTTTAATCGTAATTTCAATGAGATTTGTTCTATCAGTTGGGTAAAGGTTGTATTAGTACTGCTAATTCAATCCAACTAACATTTTTGGCAAGTTTTGAGCCATCAAAAACTTTGAAATACATGCATACTAGTAGTTTCAATTTTTTAAATTGCTTAATCATTAAAGGTCAAGTCTGTATTAAAATGAAAGCTCGCAGAGGTCAAACACATAGAACAAATTATGATAGAAATTATAATTTTTTAGGTGTGTGAAATGTTGCAAAACCATCTAAGTCAGTGCATTATAACAGCTCGGACGAGAAGTCCTGATGACTGCTTGGAAGTATTAACAGAAGAAAGCGATGATAGTACGGAGGATACAGTATCTACATCGGATCAGATGCAGTCCTTCCGAAGCAGTAATGTAGCCTTATTGGAAGGCGCTGCGGTTAAATCGTCTCTTCATGATGAGCAAAATAGGAAATGGAAATCTGTACATTTCAAACTGTGATCATTAATATTTCTTCCAGAAATTTACGATTTTGTCCCTATGTTCATGTACAGTGCATAAAACTGTATTAATAAAACATTGTACGACCACTTCCAATTGTTACGCTTTTCAAATTGTGTTCCAGTTCTGTCTTCCATATCGAATTCATATTGTATATCAGTTTACGTTTGCTTCTATTGCTATTTCGTATTATCTAAATTTTACTATTATAAAAAGGCGAGTAAACAAAGGTATTTCACGCACGTGTTGCTTCATTCCAAATGGAATGACAAAATTTGCGTAGGACGATTCTGTTTTGTTTATTTTTTACTTCTGAAATTTAGTTTTGTGTTATTGTTTTATGAAGTAAGCACATGAGTTTACTCTTAAAAATGACTGAAGAAAAGTTCGTGTAGTTGATGGTTGTGATCGTTATCAAAGATCAGTGCTAGATTTTCTAAAGACGAGAATATTCTCGAGAAACAGTAAATTGGGAATATAATATATGTTTCGACTGCTCTACTGCACGACTATTGAGACAAGTAGTTGCATACAAATCTGAAATTGTTGTACCGTAATGTTCCAGGATAAGTGCTATTGTTTTAAGTCAAAGGGCGGCAACGATAATTTCAATCCTTGTCGACCTTTGACACTAAAAACGATTTTCACAAAAACTTCTGCAGTCAAGTCGTTTTCATAATAGTCATATGCTTTCTTCTGTGACTAAGTTATGTTCGCATTTATGAAAGATAAATGTATTTGGCAGAAAACCATAATAAATGGTTGGCGAGAAAACAGTGTTGTAAAATTACAGAAGGTTTGCTTTCAAAGCGAATGCCATAGAAACACTTTATAATTATTATGAATATCTGCCGTAAATCGTCAATTCATTACCTCCAGTAACTCAAGTTTGATTGCGTATTTATTCAACAAACTTTCTACAAATTCTGTCTAGATAACTGCTGAAGAACTTAACTTACAAGTAGAGTGTATTAGTTTTTGCTAGCATTTCTGATTTGCGAAGAGTAAATCACTCATTTGTAGAGAACAGTACAGTGAATAAATCTTTACTCTGAATATCTTCTAAAGAACTTCATTACAAGTAGGATGTTAGTGCGTAAGTCTATACGTTCACGTGAACCTTTATTAGTAACTTTCATCTTAAATGTTTTTCATACGCTACAACACAAAGTTAATTTTGGCTATGTTTGATTGATTGCATCAAATTTTGTATTTATCTGTGATATTTTGCACAAAAATTAAATACTTTTCCATTTATTACCAATGTCGCGTATTTTATCTTTAGTAATGGTTTCTCGATGATTGACTTCAGGAACAGAAATGTTAAGGATCCGTCCGTAGAGATAAATTTATGCGTGGATTCTTGGTTACATTCCTATTTGCGTATCTAATAAATATTTGAAACAATGTTTTATTTCTGTCAGCACTTATCTAACGATGGATCTTAACTTTTTTTGAAGATTTGCCTTTTAACTACTATTTGCTGACTACGTGAAATTTAAAAAAATTCTATTTTTGAATCACGTAGTCATTAGGTCAAACAATGAATCCACTTTTTTAAATTTTAAATTACTGCAAAAAATAGTCCAACTGTGGGAATGATGGATATTACGGTTTGATAAGAAGAGCGAATCACTGATGAACTTAGCTTCCAATAATTTTAATAAAAATTGTTATTTCAGTGAATATAATTCAATTTTCAGCAAATGGCATACATTATATTAGGTAATATTTAAGTTCATAGATCAGTTTTAGAAAGGGATTAGATGTAAATACTGATTTTTCTCCACTGAAACAACTACAATTTGGTTTCAACTTCAAAAGCAGTCAAATCTCTGCGATAAGTAATCAGTCAGTCAGTCAGTGCATGATAAGTGATTGCAGGCGAAGATTATGATAAAAGTAAGCTCGCATTCAAGTTTGTACTAATTAAAGATTTCTGATTGACTGTTTCTCATTTAACTGTTGAAGAGAAACTCGGATTTTCAGAAATTAGCAAGCCAGTCCTCAGTTCTCAGCACAAACAAAGATTTGCTGATGAAAAATTAAATTTTCACACTGATTAATCATCTCAGCAGAATGCTTTGCAATGTGCTACAGAACCTTATTCTTCCTTTATATTATCAAATTACCACATCGATTAATCACTGACCTAACCTTTGGCCTTCCATAAAAACTGAGAGACAAGCATATGTGTAGATTGAAGTTTTTGGATAAAATGATTAATTAGCAAGTATTCTAATTATGTAGATTGAAGTTTTTGGATGAAATGATTAATTAGCAAATATTCTAATTACTGATCGTTTTTGCGCATTCTACACAAATTTTACTTTTTCTGACATAACAATTATTGTTTTCCTTCATTTCGTCTTTCACGTAATTACACTTTTGTCATATTCCTTCTGTGTTGTTTCTGAAATTCAGATTCGTTAACTAATAGTATAGTATCAACAAGTGTATTAATCAGCTCTAAAACTCTTTGTGCTCGTGTGCCAATCACTTTTATCTTAAGCTCAATAGTTCTTATTCTCAGCAATATCATCTGCTCACGATTTTTATCACGGAAATCACTTGTGCATCTCATGATTTATGCTTGGAATATGCTAAGTTGGGCAACTTAGTTCAATTTTTTGAAATGAAAGTTACTGTTTTATCAGCTCTGTGGCATAAATAAGTCAGTAATAAGGAATAATTTTCTCCATTTGCATATTTCCTTTCGATTGACCAAACCAAAAGCAAACAAATTAGTTAAATTAATTTGTATCCAAATACTCTTCTGATATTTAATTGCATTATTTAGATTTGGATAAGTAATTACTCTGCTTTCCAGTAAGTATTCTGCAGTAAGGCAGGTTCAGTCTTGCTGCATCCTTCAGTCTCACGTGAAAATAAAATTGCTTTTCAGTGAGATAAAAACATTTAGCAAAGATTTCTGCTGTGTCTATTTCTTCGAAGGCAAATTATTGGAAGGCAAGTTGAAACTCTGAGAAAGTAATTCCACAATCAAAATTCCCTTCCCATTCCAGCAAAATTTTGCATTGAAAGCATTGACAACATTTATTACTTTGACAACAAACAAAAATGACAAAATGTAGAAAAGTTTGACTCAGTGTTCAACAGCAGAATTAAGTTGAAGTCTGTCGGAAACAATCTACCATAGCATAAATGAAAAGAATATGACATCTGAAGTCACTCTCGTCAGTGATGACTGCTTTTCACAAAGGTCACCACTCGACAAAGCTTTGCTTTCACTCTGTTTTAAAGGAGATTTCAAATATTTTCATAGATTCATGCTTCTGTTAAGTCAACAATTCTTCTTTACTGCTGACAGTTTGTAATAATAAAATTAATAAGATTCTATCACTGCAAATTTTGTATTTTTACGAAATTTGCAGTGATGAATTTTCAAGGTGCGAAAGACGTTATGTTTTTCATCCGGTGGGAATTTGAACTTTAGAATCGAAACATCTAATTCCAATTGTATGATTCCGTGGATTTTTTTGTATTCCTTCATATTTCGAAACAGATAGGATATAATAATAATATAATAAAAAATTAAACTTTAAGTTTAAATTTTTCAAAGGCTAAAATTAAACCTTACTTCCAAAATATCCAAAGACAACACTTTGTATTCAGCTAGATAAGCTACTTAAATTAAATTTCCAAGAAATTTCAAGTTTCCAGAAAGTTGCAATCAAATTGCAAGAGAATTTTAAAGCCCAATTCCTAATTTATCTTCAATGCAATAAACGTAAAAAAAGAAGACAAGTAAGCATTGAAAGAAGCTGAATTTGGAGGTATTGCAATCTTTCGAGCCAAAATGTTATCCAGCGAATGACATGGATATATATGCAAGAGCGCATAATTTTTTGACATGCCATTTTCAAAACTTTCATTACTTTCTAATTTCAGAAGTTTGGGAGCATATTTTCTGAGTAAACATTGAGTGATGAACGACACGCATATTCATTGTAATAATTGTAATAATTAAGTAACGAAACTTAAATTATTTAATATTTTAATGCTTCCATTTAAAAATCTAATACTCATTTAGAGTATGTAAAAAAACTTATATTCGTGCATTAATGAACGAAACTGAAAGTTAAACTTTAACCGAACTTTGCTGCTGAAACTGAACTTGTAAAACATTTTTGAGCTTAGATATAACTTAATACTTTTATTAAAAATTAAAGAAGCCAATAAATTAAAGCCATCTGTGATCATACATTAATTAATTATATTTCTTTCTTTGCTTTGAGCTAATTTTTACTACCAATATGTTGCTTAGCAAACTTAATCAAACGAAAATAATTAGATAAATTTTGTTATTTTGTTTAATTAGAGGAAATGAATCAGTAGGAAATGATCTGATAACATAATAAATTGATATTAATGAACAAAATATATCGAGAAATGAAGACATGTGTAATGTGACATATGGGAATCTGATGGAGAACAACTGAAGTATAAAGATGAGCACATGTTCTTATTACATCGGTGTAAGCAAAATTGTCATTACTGCTTTGAAGTGTGAACGAAAACACAACTGATGTGACTGAGTAATTAATTAAGATTCGATGAACTGAAATAATGTTTATTTCAGATGATTGCTTCAAGCAGTTATCTAAACAAATTAGTCAATTTCTTTTCTTTGAAATTCAGCTAAAAATATTAGTTCAGAACTGAAAATCATTGAGAATTACTTATATCAAATAAATCTTTTCATCAAATCAAAGTTTGATTTGTCTTATCAAAGTCAAAATTGAAATTTTGAATCACTGTCTGAAAGCTCAAAATTGGTATCAAAGGCTGGTCGTTTAACATATGGAAGCAAATGAAAATTCGCACTAAACCTACAATAAAACAAAAGAATTAACGCACGGATTCCAATTAGCCTCGAAGAAAAAGATACTATTTCAGAAAGCTGAAATTCAATTAAGGGTATTCTGAAACCAGGATCAAACAATATTTTCATGTAAAAAAGTTGCATTGTTGGCAAT